TGGAGCTCAGAGGAACTGAAGCTCAGAGAGACATCTCGTAGTGTGAACACGGCCTTGTGCTGTGCGTGTTTTTTAGGCCCCCCACTGAAAACGTTCTCAACTGATATATCTACATATGGGCGGTGCTATTTACATATGAATAAGCCGCGACTCATTCCCCCCCAAAAAAAATGCCCGCGCGACGCTAGAGTGTTCGGGTTGACTGGAAGAAAAGGTGGCAACCCTACCTGTCACCCTCAGTGGGGTGGCTACTAGAAATTCAGCTTTGCTAGCACTGTATGGAGTCTGGCTGACCTGTACTTGGACATTATCTGGTTAATTCCAGGTGTTCTGCTGTTGAATATACCTACTTGAGTGGGGTGGGACTCTGGTGGCGCAGAGTGGGGCAGCCAATAGGGGCACATCAGGAGTGTCTATGCCTCATCAGCCAATTTACTGGGAGCTTCAAGGCCACTGGTGCTTGCTGGTGGAGTGCATCAATACTCTGAGGATTGCCATGTTCTCAGACCCAGTCGGCCCCGGGCTTGGCCTGCACAATGTTGGCCTGCACTGGATGCACAATGTTGGAGAAGCTGACCAGGCCTCAGGGCAGGTTCACACCATTTTCCGGACCACATATGGTCCGGAAAATGGTGCAAACCTGCCGAAATTCCAGTACATTCCAGACCAGACACAATGAGGCGCGCAGTATTGTTCTGGTCTGGAACGGACTGTGCTGGTGTGAACAGAGGCCAGAAATAGCATAGGGATACATTAGGATGCATTCTGGGTCCAGAAACAATCTGGTCTGGTCTGGAGATGATCTGGATGTGGTGTGAATGGGCCCTCAAGCCTGGAGGAAGCCACATGTGGACCTAGGAGGGGGTCTAGAACTAACAGTAGAAGAGAATCAGAGAAGCCGGAGATACCAGGAGCTGATATGGACCTCAGGATCAAGTCAGGTGTCTCTCCCAAGGAACATCTCATGCCTACGCCTATTCTGCTGTTGCTTAATTGCCCATTGTCATCCTGTTCTCCTAATTATTCTGCCCTGGGGAAGTCTAAAGGGATTGGGGAGTCTCTCCTATTCCTGCTATGGATATCTGAGGCCCCATACCCCCTCTCCCAGTTATGCTTTTCTATAATAAAGCATTTACATAGGCACTTAAAGTGACTGGCGCCCAACTTTGTTGATCACATGTCCCTTTACTGGCTAAGGATCTGCCTCCTGAGATTGAAATGCCGGCCCTCCCTGGCCTTTGGGGGTCCACCTCAGGCCTCTGGGGGTCAGGGGGGTTCTACAATAGGAAGAAGCTGTAGAACATCTTAGAAGGTCCATCTCTGTAGCGCCATGAGTCTCGTGCGGATGAGAAGCCCATGTCCTGTTCTTCATGACCTCCCTTGCCTTGGAGGAACTTCTCATCTGAGGGGCGATCATCAGAAACGAACCCTAAGGTGACACATCTATGTCAGCATATAGACAATTCCACAAAGACACGTGGAAAGCAAGACACACCTTCACATTCATTGAGGAACATCAACAAAACCGTGTAGCACGACTCTTATATACTGTTCATAAGGAAGAGGAGACGTGTGTGCGTGGATTATCCAACCTTATCCATGTGATGGCAATGCCTCCTATAAACTCCTCCAGGAATAAACAATGTTTAAGCCTTTGTAGAGCCCTCTGCTACGTCACTACTAAATGTAGTGTTATATCTGGACTGTAGTCAATCTGGATGCTGATTGCTCTGAGTTCTGCTGGGATCCCTGAGTCTGGTGGATTGATTGCTTCCCCCTGTTGCTGGGTTGGGGTCTCAGCATACAGTGAGGGAGGATCCATCCTCAGACTGTGACTATGCATCTGACTCTGACCAATCCCTGAGCAGGATGACTCAGAGGTGTGGCTGGAGGAAGGTGATAAAGGTTTGGGGACACCTTCCGCAACTCTCTCTCTCCCCTGGGGCCCTCCCTGGGAGGAGGTCTGTTTGCTACAGATGCCTGGCCTAGGCCTCAGCATGTGGCAGATGCTGGGGGCCTAGAGGCCTAAGATACTACAGGATGCCTGGTCTAGGCCTCAGCATGTGTCAGATTCTGGGGGCATAGAGACCTAAGATACTACAGGATGCCTGGTCTAGGCCTCAGCATTAGGCAGGTGCTGGGGGCCTAGAGGCCTAAGATACTACAGGATGCCTGGTCTAGGCCTCAGCATTTGGCAGGTGCTGGGGGCCTAGAGGCCTAAGATACTACAGGATGCCTGGTCTAGGCCTCAGCATGTGGCAGATGCTGGGGGCCCAGAGACCTTAGATACTAGTGAAAAGGAAGGTGATGGAAGCTGGGCTGGAGGTGGAGTCTGCTTATTGAGGGGTACCGCAGAGGAGCTGGTGAGAGGAGCCGTCTGGAACCCTGTAAGAGATCCCTCACCCTACTCTCAGGTACTATACAGAAGAGAAGCCGGTTGGTGCACTACAAGTCATGTGACGGCTCTCTCTCAGAGTCCTGGACTATTCCTGGCTGTTCTCTGGTGCTACTTCATATTACTGGTCGCTCTCACAGGACCGTTGTGCTTCTGATACAAGCCGTTGCTAAGGGAGACGACAGAGTCCTCCGAATTGTTACTCGGGTATCCTGCACCCCGACCCTCTCTCCTAGTTACTACTGAGCAATAAATACTACAAAGACCCCACGACCCGATCCTGATCCGTTCCGGAGTGTCGGTGTTGCTGGAGCTGAGAAAGGGGCCGGTGGCTGGCTGACCAGGTAGTAGGACCCAAGTTCATATCCAGCGGCTCCTACGGGGGTGAGCGCTACACCTTACACAGATCTTTCTCAACGACAAAAACATGACTAATATCCTCTTATCTTTGTCCAAGGCCAGAGTAGGACCTGATATGGATCCCACCACACGAGAGACACTCAATTAGGCCGGCTCTACACCATAAAGAGAAATAAATGTGGTTTTACGCATTGGTTTATATCAAGAAGCAGATCGAAGAGTGATTGATATGTGAGAACCGCTCTGAAATATCAAAGTTTCCATCCATCCTGGGATGATGGATTCCAAGGTGGCAGATGATGGGAGTAGAGCGTATAGTCATAGATCTGGTGAGAAGTAATGGAGGAAAACTTTCATAGGAGAAGACATCCAGAGGAGGACTGAACATGGAGAAGACACAGAAATACAGGACAGAGTGTTCTCAGGAATTCGTCCTCTTGGACCTTTATGCCTTGGTCATCCCAGAAGATGGTTGTCATGACATTTTTGTGCTGACCTGGCAGTTGTCAATCTCTTGGGACGAGGAGAGCTGGAAGGGCGCCATTCAATATCTTGTGAACGATTCCCGTTTCGTCCCCTTTTTGAACTTCTTTACCCGATGCCGAACGTCACTCATGTCACCGTACACGTTCTTCGAGTATCTATGGACCTCAAGACCCTCTTTCCTCAGAAACTCAATTGCTTCTCTTTGTATGAACCTCTCCTCCGTGATTCACTGGATATGATGTAAAGACAATGGTGGGATGTGAATGTCATCTGAGGTCCAGTCCCTTTCAGGTGTTTTTAGAGGAGCAGCCAGACTCCGGACTCTACTACTCTACGTACAGTCTCCATAGCCATGGGGACCTTCAAGCCAGACCGGCATCCTGTAACTCTCGAGCACTAGACTGTGAAACAGACATAGCACCCAACTGCCTGGGTGAGTCACCAGACTTCCCGTGAGGTTCCAGCTTTGAGGCACCTCCAGAAGACTCCGTTACTCCCTGGTTCTCCTTCCCAGGATCAGCTCCACTCCTTCTGGGATTCAACCTCCACCAGGCTTTGTAGGCCCAGGCCCAAATCCTGACCTTACATCATAACACATGAGGCCTACCTAGGAAAGAGGCTTCAGAGGTCAGAATCAATAAAACACACCTCCCCAGCAAGGAGCACGGGGGGGGGGGGGGGGGAGAGT